CCCCCCCCCCCCGAGATCCTTCTTTAGATCCTAGGATTCTTGCATGCAGAAGAGTTGCAAGGGTGCAAGGGTGACGGTGCGCTCGGAACGCGCCGCATTTTCCAACGTCTTAGCTCGAACCAGCGTCGACTCTACCCCACGGCCGATGGTTATATCGAGTCGAACTTCGACGACGTCACGGCGGGAACACACCTTCCCGATAGAGCCGGGAAAGTTGGTAGGCGTCGTTGAAAGACGGCGCCGAGAGGAGACAATTCCCTCCTCTCCCCCTACGTCGGCGCAGTTCGCGGAGTATATTAAAAAATTTCCTGGCGCACCGTGAATTCCAGGAATTCGTAATTGATACGTCGCCGGGTGGTTGGTTTGAAAACCGGAGGCCGGAATCCCTTGGATAGCACCAGGTCTGAATAAATGGGCTATGTTAAATATGTCGGCTACCGAGCTTCGAAGTGTTTGCTCAGTTTTTAAGAACGTGTTGTTCCTCCTTCGATCGAAAGAACGTTCTCACGGAGGGGGAGGGGGGGGGGGAAGATACGTGTATATTCTTGTTTTCGAAAAGTCGTATACAGTTCTTAGAAGTTTCGCCAGCTCGGTGTAATTTGTATTTATATGTTAATGCGAGTTCACGTTCGAACGATTAACACGGGCGAAATTTCTGATGTTGAATTTTGATTTCATGCGGTCGCCAAACGTGAAGGATTGAAATACAGAGAAAATGTATTGATCACTGCAATAAGTTAGTCAATAACTTATTTATTATTGTGAAAATAAATATCGAGGACAGAAAGATTGGTTACAAATTGAATTATAAATTATCGAGTCAATTACGAACAGCGGAAATTAAAAAATGCATGTGGTTTTCGTTGTCTGTCATTTATTCAATTTCCAAGATATACATAAGTCAGATACCTTCGAGTAGGTCAGACTGTCATTATCAATTTAAGTAGTAAAATTTAAAAATCGACAGCCTGTCAGTAAGAAAGAAAAAGAATTATATCGCCATTAATTCCGTGAGAAAATAATATATATATATATATATATATATTTCCTTCGATTATTTTCAATTTTTCATTAATTTTTAAACTTCAGCAAGTAACGTATTTATATATTTTTTGTTAAAATTCAAACAATGCATCGAATCCAGAGTTAATGAAATTGCTTGACAACTTTAAACAATTCGTAAATCACTTACTAAAGAAAATATGTTAATAAAGACATCAACATTATTAACTTTTCTGTTACCGAACTGTAACGGATATATATCAAATTCTAGAATTGTAATAAAATTATAATTAAATATATTATACCACGGATATTCCAATTAAGGGAATATATAAATTTAGCTTTGATTTTAACTTATTAAAGGCTAACATTGCGTTGCTTCACTTGCGATCTTATTCCCATTAATATTTAATTAAATTTCAAATTTCAGATTTTCTTTAATTTTATTTCACTCTCTTTCAAGTTTTATCTTTTCTCCACTAACATTAACAACGTTATTCGCGTTATTTTATCTGCAATCTCTTTACCATTAATATTTAATTAAATTTTGACGTTTTCTATTAACTTTATTCCATTTTTCTCCGTTTTACTTTTAAAATTTAATCCTTTTAATATCAATGACGTTGCTTTATTGCTATATTCGCAATTTTCGTGCCATTAATATTTAATCAGATTTCAAAATTTTCTTTCAATTCAGTTTCATTTTGTTCTTTCTTTTGAAATTTTCGATTATTATCAGTAACGTGATATTTAATACCAATAACTAGGCTGTGGGTTTTTATGCAAAGTCATATTTTTGGAAATGTAATTAAAGGAACCTTTAGATAGGAAATTGTATCTCCTATACCAAATGTTTGATGCAAAACACAGTACTTTGAATATTTTTAATAATATCCGTGCGATGTGTCATCTTCAAATTTCTCACAAGAAGAATGAAAGCATGAAAGCCCCTAATAATCTAATAATAATTGTATTATTTTACTTGCGATCATCTTTCAATTAATATCAATATGCCGAGAAATTGCAAGGATTCCCTAAATATTTCTCCACGCTAGATCTTCTTTCCCTCTTGTAACAGAACCGTCTGAACGTTACGAATTACAAGGAAGATCCGATCGGATCAATTCCTCGGATATCTCGCGATCGATCACACCGGGACGTACACCGGGACCGCGTCTTTCTCTCGAAACGGAATTCTCAGTGCGCAGATTTTCGTCGATATATATCCCGGTTTATGAATAGAAGAAATCGGCGACGACGACGGATTCACAGGAGGGGCAGCAGAATAGGGATGGAATTTTTCCGGCACAGCGAAGTGGAAAGAAGCGTCTACGACGTTTCGAAGTAGTAAATAATGGAGAGTGACGAACGGATGGCGCTGCGGCGGATGCGCAAAGAGTGTAGAGCAACCGGGCTACCAGGACGTAGGAGAATGAAGGGGGAAAAGAAAGAAAAAGGAAAGAGAGAAAGCAGGAATAGAAAATTGCACGGTAAACTCGTGCCACCGTTTTCCACCTTGCCGTGGTAAATTGAGAATAAACAGGCGGACCGGGCGTGAATTTGCAGGCTCGCGGGGGAGGAAAAAAATATTTCATAGCGGGCGGGTGAAAATCACGAAGGAAAGGGGGATTCGTTTGGACCAGCAGCTCCGAAATCCACGTAATCGGGCTGGAACTCGATTTAACCCCTTTATAAGATTGTGGTAAATATTTCGATCTACTCCTTTTTTACACCAGTGATCATTGTTTGACTCGTAGGAAGGCGGACAAAAATCTATTAGAGATGTGTAGATACGTATTTTTATTACACGTGTATTTGATTAGGTACTGCTCGAAAATATTTGTTTCGAAACTGGAGATATTAAATGCTACTTTATAGAAGAAAGAATGTGTTAACAATTATAAATATAAATACAATAAATATCGAATATTAGAAAATAAAAAAATGTTCAAAGACTTTTTGGCAACAATGTACATGTACAAATATGAAATTTCGTATCTTCTCTTGACAATTGTTTTCCTATACATGATTTAAGTAGCATTGATTTGTGATTAATCACCACTTTATACACGTGTAAACAAAAGATAAATTAATAATTCATTTCAAATAAAAAGAGGGCGATTTATGTGTGTACAATTAGCAACATTTTTCGCAATTCCATACGAATGTAGACGATCAAATTCACGCTGTAATATCAGTCAGCTTCAACAGTGAATGAAATCATATCCATCGAAATATATCAAATATATATTAAATAAAATATTTTAATTTAATTTAATTGATCCTATTCAGAGGATAACGTAAAGATACAAAATATTGATTCATTAAAGTACTCATCGTTTTACAGAATTCTCTTATCGTTTTATCCTCATATCGTCTCGATTCATTCATTCAACTCTTCGTGCACCCCTACTTTATCCACCAACCCCTAAATCCTCCTACTTTATCTACAGCAATACATCGCTTGTTCGAACGTCTGACCATTCCTGCCTTATCTACTTGTTTTGTCTACTCTCCTCAAAATATCGCGAATTTTATTCCTGTTAAAGGTTTCATTTAAAAATGGAAAGAGAGTGTTTAACGTTGTAATAATTTACTATGCGTGCATATCTAATTACTTTTTGTATCTTTCGTGTATTTGTTATTGCATCTTTATGTATTCTTCCGAACCTTACTAAAATCCAGATGCGTTCAATGAATAAATAAGAAAGGAAATAGGCAAAATTCTTCGATTGTTCATGTGATTTGTAGAAAACCTTCGACCAATCGAGACGAAATTTAAAGCGAGGAATTTAAAAGAGTGATGGTGGATAAAAGAGCAACCTGTTGAATTCTACATTGTTGTCTACAAACGGTGAATCGCAGGAGCTTGTTTTCTTATTCCTGTCTCGATTTGTATTTAAACGAGAAGCCGAGAATACATACGGATAAATTAAAGAATTCATTGCAGTTAATAATATTTCGTAGAAGCGAGAGAAATCAATCTTCAAACAAGGAAGGATCTCTCGCCCTAAAAATTCAGAAGTTAAATTTAATATTTGTTGTACGAGGTTGTGTAATAAAAAGAAAATATTAAACGGTACTCACGTCATTGGGACAAAGTGGAATGAAACGAACTCTGAAATCATTTTCGTGATACACTCGGATAAAATATTTTTAAATAAATACCATTTATTTTCATGTGGTTAGTAATTGAAAGTTGAAAATGTAATTTAAAATATTGGATTTCTGCGGCATGAAAACAAGTTTATAGCGGTTCTGCGGTGTATAATTGATACTTTAAAGGGCAAGAGACGTATACATTTTCAATCGAATTAATTTAAGTCCTTTCGAATCCAGAAATATTAAAAATCGTATAATATACTCACTGCATGTAGAAAATGCAGAAATGAAAAGCACTCATCGTGTTTTTGCCCAA